CAACAAGCAAATGAAGGCGTCCTGGTGTGGCACTGTGGGTTAATGTGCCAGGCTGCAAAGCTGTTTGAAATGCAACGTTGGCGATTTAAGCTCACCAGCTGCTCTTCGGACACCGTATACAGGGTCGCTGTGGGTCGGAATTGACTCGACGGCACTTAACAACAAAACAAATGAAATCTTTGGCATCTTCATTCTTTTCTCCATTTATCATGACGTTATTTATTGGTCCAGTTGTGAGGGGTTTTGTTTTCTTCACATTGAGATGTAATCCATACTGAAGGCTGTAATCATTGATCTTCATCAGGAAGTATTTTAACTGGCTTTTTGCTTCCAGAAAGCAAGGTTGTATCACCTGCATCTCACAGGTTGTTAAGGAGTCTTTCTTCAAGCCTGATGCCATATTCTTCATAGAATCTTAGTTTTTTTGGATTATTTGCTCAGCATACAGCCTGAATATAGGAAGCTTGGTGCACACCTTTCCTGAGTTCAGTATTCTCTTGTTCTATTCTGATGACTGTCTCTTGATTTATGTAAATCCTCCTTGTTTCCTCATGAGGACAATTAAGTGTTCTGGAATACCCATTCTTTGCAATGCTGTCCATAGTTTGTCATGATCCACACAGTCAAAAGCCTTTGCATAGTCAATAAAGCACAAGTAAACATCTTTCCTGGTATTCTCGGCTTTCAGCCAAGATCCATCTGACATCAGCAGTGATATCCTTTGTTCCACATCCTCTTCTGAATCCTACTTGTACCTCTGACAGTTCCCCATCAATGTACTGTTACAGCCATTTTTGAATTATTGTCAGCAAAATGTTACTTGCATGTAATATTAATGGTATTGTTCAATGATTTCAGTATTCCGTTGGCTCACCTCTCTTTGGAATGGGCACAGATATGGATCTCTTCCCGTTAGTTGGCCAGGTAGCTGTCTTCCAAATTTCTTGGCAGAGATGAGTGAGCGCCTCCAGAGCTGCATCAGTTTCTCGAAAGATTTCGATTCGTATTCCGCCTTTTTCTGGAACTTGCTTTTCCACCAATGCCTTCAGTGCAGCTTGGGCTGCTTCTTTCAGTACCATTGGTTCTTGATCATACGTTAGCTCTTGAAATGGTTGAACATCGACCATTTCTTTTTGGTACAGTGACTGTGTAGGCCTTCCATCTTCTTTTGATGCTTTCTGCATCATTCAATATTTTGCCCATAGAATCCTTCCAAGTTAAGGCTTGCATTTTTTCTTCAGTTCTTTCAGCTTGAGGCATACTGAATGTTTTCTTTCCTTTAGTTTTCTACCCCCCTGTCTTTGCACATTGCATTATAACACTTTACTTTGTCTTCTTGAGCTGCCTTTTGAAATTTTCTGTTCCGCTCTGATTTTAAATGGCCAATTCCAGTCCATTTCAGGTCACTAGTTCCTAGGATATCGAAGTTTAAGTGTTCCATTTCATTTTTGATGACTTCTAATTTTTCTGGATTCATACTTCATAAATTCCATGTTCTAATTATTAATGGATGCTTACAACTGTTTTTCCTCATTTTGAGTTGTATCTCATCAATAAATGAAGGTCTTGAAAGCCCTAATCCATTTACATTATTACAGTCCTCTCTGCTGTGAGGAGGCAGCTCTTCCCCAGCCATAGTTTGAGAGCCTTCTAACCTGAGTGGCTCATCTTCAGGAACTGTATCTGACAATATTCTGGTATTATTCATAATTTTTTTCATCTTCTGGCCCTGTATCTGAGAATGTTTCACTGCTATTCACGAGGTTTTCAGTGGCTAAACCTTCAGCAGTGGTCCGCCTCTCCTTCCTAGTCTGGTAGCTCTGCTAAAATCAGTTCACTAAGGGTGTTCCTTCTGGAATTTCAAATACCGGGGGCACAGCTTCCAACATCACAGCAACGCACAGGCCACCATAATGTGACCAACTGACACACGAGTGGTGACCAGGCTTAGAAAGGTTTAAAGGTAAAATCAGCAACAATGATGAGTCTGGTTGTCGTGGTAGGAGACCAACAGGGCACTGATGATGAATGGCTTTCCTCTCATGACCTTCTGTCATCAACAGAAATGACTCCCTTCACTTGCCAGCTCCTGTTAGAAAGTGCCTGGGAGCAGCTATATTGCTCAGGAGTTCAGAGGTGTGGGGGCTGCTTGCACTAGTCTGCCGCCCAGGTCTACTTCCGGTGCCCTCACAGGTGCCGCCCCCACCTCCCCAGGGCCCCTCTCTTGCCCTGTTGTGGGTTACACTGGCCAGCATGTCTCGGTCCAGTTGAGGCTTACTGAGTATGCAGTAAGTGCCTAGCATGTGTTGCATTTGTTTTCACACTGAGTCAGGTAGTATAAATTCTCACAGCGGGTAAACATAGGGCTCAGTGGTCCGGCTCTGGGTGAACGGATGGGGACCCAGCTGCTCCCTTCCCAGGTGGACGATGAGGACTGCATTCTACCCCGCAAGCTGCAGGCAGCCCTGGAACACGTTCTGGAGCAGAGGAGCGAGTTGGCCCGAGAGCCCGAGGAGGGGCCTGCCGACCGCAGGTCCGGTGAGTACCCCGCCGAGGCCCGGGACACTGTTTAAGTGACTTCAGAGCCAGCCGGGCGACCCGGATCGTGGGGAGTGGCGGTGGGACACCAGAGCGGGACTCTCTGGCCCTGACTTCACCTCAGGGTCCTCCTCGCCGGCCCCACCCTCAGTCCTCACCGCAGTCCCCCCCCCCATTCTGCTCGGCTCCGCCCCCAGGCCCCGAGTCCAGTCCCCTGAACGCGGTGGTGTCCGAGGCTTTCGTGCGCTTCTTCGTGGAGATCGTGGGCCACTACTCACTCTTCCTGACGCCGGGCGAGCGCGAGGAGCGGACGCTGCAGCGGGAGGCCTTCCGCAAGGCCGTGTCCTCCCGGAGCCTGCGCCGCTTCCTCGAGGTCTTCATGGAGACCCAGACCTTCCGCAGCTTCGTGCAGGAACGGGTGCTACGCCGCCAAGACGTTAAGGGTGAGAGGTGGAGGGGGACCTTGGGGCTGGGGCTGCCCTGGGGGGCAGGGGGCGCTCCTGGGAGTGAGGTGACTCGGCCTTGCAGTGCAGTGTTCTCCCTGTCTCTCCTGGTAGCCCATTTCTCTCCTCCCTTCCCTTTCCAGGAGTGAAGGAGGGGAGAGGTGTGGAAAGGAAGAAAGCTATTCATTGCACTTAACTTTCTCCCTCACATCATCTCAGGCGCTTGGGGAATCTAAGAGTAGGAAGAAAGGCCTGGTGATCAATCTCCTGAAAGTCCTTTTAATAACACCAGATGGCTCATAACAATCCACAACCGATCATGGGGATGGCTTAACGTGTTGTGCACGGGGTCACTGAGTTGGGGGTCGACAGGGTGGCAGCCAACAATAATTTGACAGTGACAGGAGGCTGGAAGGCTTAAATATAACATGTAAGGAACCTTCTGTTCTCAGACCTTTAGTCAGGGGCTGAGAGTCAGGGACCCAAGAAACCGGGTCCAGACCTCTGAGTTCCCAGGACACTGAAGTCACCGTCCAGGTCTTTCCCATGGAGGAAGGCCCGTGGCTGGGCCAGCTCAACAGCTCATGGAGAGCCGGGGCCATCCCGGGCAGCCTTACCCAGGGCAGGTGCGTGCTAGGTGCTGGCTGACTGAAGATGGGATTCGTATGAACACTGGCTTCCCAGCTGTCCAGAGGCTAGGCAATTGCAGGAGTGGTAAACCCTTATAAACTGTGTGCTGCAGGGCAAGGTATAGGAACAGAAGCACAGAGAAGGTACCCCCGCTAGCCGGTTCCTCTTGTCCTCAGGTCTGTTTGAGGTCCGAGCCCAGGAGTACCTGGAAACCCTGCCTAGCAGTGAACACAGTGGTGTCAATCGGTTTCTGAAGGGACTAGGTAAGACAACTGGCTCCCAGGAGGTCAGCAGCCTGAGCCATGAGCTACTGCCGGGTCTTGGCCAGCACCCTGCCTGGGAGCCGGGGCCTACTCTCACCTGATGCATGGGTGTGTCTGTTTTCCATCCTCATGTAAGCAAGAGACACACTGCCCCCCAAAGTCCTGCTGGGCCATGTGGTCATCTCCTCACCTCAACTCTCCCCATCATCTCTTCCTTCTCATTCTCGCCCACTGTGTGGGAACTGACAGAGGAGGCTGGACCAGTCTCTAAACTCCAAACCTGCAAGTGGAAAAGGGGGTCAGAGCAGAAGACGCAGGGGAGGGGGAGCAGGCCCAGTGAGGCCACCTGCGGAGCTGGGCTCATGGGGCCTCTGTCCACGGTGCCTGGCGCCTGGGGGACTCACCACACACCTTTGTGCACAATAACTTTTTTTTACTTGTGAGCTGAGTGATAGTTTCCATGGGAGAACATCGGCTTTACACCACCGTTTCATTGCAATGATTACAATCTCCTCCATGTATCATCATTCAATAGTTGCTTCTATTCCCTCTGGTTTTTTTGGGGGGGAGGTATGGGGTGGGGTGGGGGGATGTACACAGAAACACTCAGGAATATATAATCATTTAAACAACCAAAGGGCACATTCTGCAAGTCTGCCTCCTGGCCGCCAGCACCCAGTCTCTCTCTTTCCAGAGTCCAGAGCCCTCAGCTGCTCCCTCTCTCCATGCCCTCATCTCTGCCTCCACCTCTGGTGTCGCTGCTTCTCTACATAGGGTCCCACACTCCACTTGTGCTCTCTCCCTCTTGATGGTCTTAGGGTCTTCTGTTTCTGGATTGTAAGATTAACTCCTCCCTCATTTTTGTTAGAAAACTTCTACCTTTCCAGTGCACACAGTAAGTTTGTCATGAATTGAGTGCAGGTTTACAGAGCCGATCATCAGTTTTACACTCAGCACATCATGGGCTTTGTTTCATCTCACTGATTGCAGTCCCCTCCCTGCATCAGCATCACTTAGTCCATTTCCTCCAGATAAACTGCTGTTTTAGAAGTACCCTGGCACTCCTGCCAGACCCCTACATCGGCAAAAGACCCCTTTCCATGAGAGGAGGGCCGGTGTGCTAGGGCCAGAGGGCAAGCCCTTCAATTTCTCAGAGCTCAGGCCTGAGTTCCGGGGACCCCAGACATCCCCATCATGGCGGGAATGGGAAGGACTAGAGTTCACTTGCTCCTCTTCGCCTGATGGTGAAACATTCTCCTTTTCTCTCTTCAGGCAACAAAATGAAGTTTCTCCACAAGAAATAGCCTTCAGTTCAACTTGAAGAAAACTTCTAGCGGAGCCAGGTGTTTGGAAAGCCCTGTCTGTGGCTTTGAGGCTGAGGGGAAGACCAGTGGTGTCAGGCCCTGGAGCTGACCTGGCCCCCAGGGACCAGCCGAGCAGCCTCAGAAACCAGCCCCTAGATGGCACAGGAGAACCGCTGACGGTCAGGGGCATGGTTTGGGAGCTTGGGTGTTTATCTTTTGGTTTTTTAATCGTAGATATTAAAAAACAAGAAAAGGGTTTGGGTTTTCTTTTGACTATGCCAGGCAAAACAAGTCTGTCTGCCCACCTTCTTTGTCCATCCATCCTCCCCCAGCTCTACTCTGGAGCCAAGAGCAAGTCCCGAGGTAGTTGGGAAGGGCTAAGAAATTTAGGATCCCACTCTCAGCAGAACTTGGGGTACCAGGGAGAAGGAAAAGAGGCAGACCTCTGGAACAGGATGCCCAGATCAGCTTCTCAGCCAAGCAGTTCTTTGCGCGCCCTGCAGCGCCCCCTGGTGGCTGTGTCCATCTCCTGCTGTGCACAGTCTCCTCCCCTTGTGGGCCCCACTCCTGAAGGCCACTCACCTGAAGCCAGGGAGCCTTTGTCTTCTGAAGCAGCACATGACCTTGGAGGGACGCACCAAACTCCTCATCAGATCTGTACCTGAAGCGCTTGCCTCAACACAGAAGCCACAGCGTCGTCGGCCCGTGTACACTGTGAAGTGTCCCTGTCTCATGCAGGACACTGCCCCTGCAGTACAGGCAGAAGGCAGTTTTGGCAGGCTCAGAGCTTTGGGGCAGCTTGGACTTGGACTAGGCCAACTTGCCTCTTCAGAGCTGAAGCAGGGGAGCAGGAGCCTGTCCTGCAGGGGGGGCCCTCAGCACATACTCCAGGAGCCCCTGGGAGCCCTGGTCTTGGCTCTGGCCCAGGGCTGTGCTGTCTGATTGAGGTTTTCAACCTTGAGGACATCGGGAGCTCTGGCATCTCTGAGGAACCAGGTGACCTCATTCTAATTGTAGTTGTAGATAGTGCCCCCAAAGTTGTATCCCAGATTCGGTGTGTCCAGTTATGTTTCAGGGGAGGCCCATAGTTAACATCAGATTCTCAGAGGGTTCCCAAGACCCCAAAACATGGTAGGACCAAGCTGGGTGTCAAAATTAACCTGAGAAGGAAGATGTGTGTGGTTGTCGGGGAACCTGAATGAGAACCTCTGAGTGTCGGGGCCTGGGAATTTGTATTTAACAAGTGCCTCAGATTGGTGACATTAATAATAGTAATATTCTGTATTTTTATATTGCCCAGAAATGACCACTTCTAATACTGGGGTATACACTTTTCTTTTCTAACTTATTTCATATTGTATTGTCTACTTAATAACATCCAAGTGAATAAATACACATCTTCATTAACGTTCCTAATGGCTGCATAATAGTGTACTTTGTAACTGTACTCAGTTCACCAATACTTGACTTTGATTCATGCAGGATCTTTTCAATTTTTATTATCAAAAAGCATTGAGGAAGAAAAAAGTAATTTAGCTCCCTAGGGTGGTGCAGATCAGTAAACATGCCTAGCTACCAACAGTAGTTGGCAGTCCTGATCACCCAGAGGCTCCTTGGAAAGACCCAGTGAGCTACGTCCAAACTCTGCCAGTGAAAACCCCAGTCGACTCTGGCACACACAGGCTCTCCAGGAGTTGGAGTATATTCCACTCAAGAAGTTTGGCTTTTGGTTTGTAAGCATTCCATTGTTTTTTGATTTGTAGCAAATCATATGGTCATAAGTGCTGGGGTCTGGCCTCGACAAGGGGGTGAGTACCTGAAGATGGGGTGTCCGGCGATGATGGCGAGAGAGAGAGAAAACAGACACACAGAAGGCAGAGAAAACAGATACAAAGAAGACAGACACACAGGCTTGATGCAAGCTGCCAGACAGACTGCTCAGAGACTGACATCACACACAGTACTAGCACCCCATAACTCTAGGTGGGATATCTGAAGAGGCAAAAGAGAGAGAAAGAAACACTCGGAGACCAGAGTGAATAGAAGCTGACAGGCTGATAGCCCGGATACAAACTGCGAGGCTGATGGCTTTTCTGCCCAGAAAGTATGGCTGCCCAGAATGTCTCTCTGCCCAGAATGTCTCACTTCCCAGAATGTATGTCTGCCCAGAAAGTATGGCTGCCCCAATGTCCCTCTGCCCCGAATGTATTCAGAACTATCTCCCCATCAGTCTTTTATTTCCTCTCTTTAGGGAAGAGATCTTTACAGAAGAAGAATGGGATTAGTCAGACGAGACAATGCTTAATGATTCACAGAGACAATCTGTAAACTAAATTAAGCCAGTAAACCTTACTTAAACCAATATTCCTTGCTTCCTTACTGGGTTTAACCTTCACTTGGATCAAATTGATTGAACCCAGGGTGGTCCGAGGGAGTTGCCCCCATTGTCCTTAATCTGGTATTCCCAGAATTTACCACTCCACCCCAAGTGAATATACCCCGGGCAGTTCCTCTCCAGAGCCTCCCTGCTTAATCCCAGTAAACCTGTCCTTGTTCTTCCTCTGGGGAAGTTTTACTGCCTTGGTTCTAGGGGGAAAATCTTGACCTTAGAAATTTAGGGGAATATTGCATTTCTCTGTGGACATCCAGGGCTCATGTATGAAATTAACAAGCACAACTAAACAATCAGATGAGGGACAGTTAGCTAAATCTGCTAGGTCACCAGAGCCTGGTCCTCAGAGCCTGCGGCCTGTACAGTCCACCACACTTGGGCCCACGTGGCCCTGAACTCCTGACCGGGTCAGCGTGGTCTACAACACATAAGGAAGAAACAAAGCATTGCAGTAGTATCGTTGTTAAATGCCGTCAAGTCAGTTCCAAGCCATAGCAACCCTGTATAAGATTTCCAAGGAGCATTTGGTGAGCTTGAGCCACAGACCTTGCTGTTCAAATTGACTTTGCAGTTCAGCGCATTAACCCACAGCGCCACATCAGGACTCCAGTTGTATGGTTGGGTGGGTTTTATTACTTTAGAATATTAACAACTCCTCACAGGTGCTAAGAGCCACAGAGCTCTAGTCTGAGGAAGGAGACTACCCCTGCTGGGCTCAGGAGATCTGAGTTCTTAGAAACCATCTACAAATTCACAGGTGCTCAGCTGCTTACTAAAGGGTGAGTAGTTTGAACCCACCCACCGGAGAAAGAGGTGGCAGTCTGGTTCTGTAAAGACGACAGAGCTAGAGACTCCATGGGGCAGTTCTGCCCTGTCCCCTGGGTGGGCTTTCTATGAGTCGGATAGCACCAGGCTTGGGCTTATCACAGAAGCCCCTCGCCCTGCTTACTAACCACAGGGATACTGCCATCTAGGGGGAATCCCAACTTCACCTGATCCTTGGCACCCCTCCCCTTTTATTTTTTCGTTTCAGTTTTTATCCTTTTTTAAAAATCTCATTTCTTATGAAGTTGTTTGTGCTGTCGAGTCAGTTCTGACTCATAGCAACCCTGTCTAGGGTTTTCAAGGAGCGGCCAGTAGATTTGAACCACCAGCCTTGGGGTCAGCAGTCCAGTGGCTTATTCTACAGCGCCACACAAGAACCTCCCCTCCCCTTTTTAAAAAAAAAAAAAAAAAAACTTAAATTGGGCTGAGTGTTCAAGCAGAGCCCTCACAGATGGGAGAGATTGAAACAGGCCAAGGAGGAAGAGATTCCAACCTGAGCAAAGGTTGGTAGGAGACATGAGGGCTGGTGAGGCACCCCCACCCCCGGAGTGACTTGCACCTGTTAAACCAATTAGCTTCATTCCATACTGGTCTGGTGACCTCACCACGCCAGCCCCACCCAGGCTGTAGTTAACAGATGGGCCGGCTTACCTTGGCCTCCTTGTCCAGGATCCCAGCCTCACCTGTGTTCAGATGCAAACGGTCACCCCTGGGCCCCTCCCCTGCCCTCCTTAACTCCACCTACTGCTACTCCTCCCCCAGTGTATTGTCCCAGGGGTGCACACAGGGGACCCCCTGAGGGTTCTACCCACCGAAGAGCTGTGCCCCGCCACCAGGGATGGGGCTGGGCGAGGGGACCTGCAGACCCACCCTGCTGTTCACCTAGCCTAGCACAGGTGTGCAGGGCTGACAAATGCGAAGGTGATGGACCCAGGGGACCAGGTTGGGAGGTGCTGGGTGTGGATAGGATCAGCAAGCAGGCTATCAGAGCAGAGGCAGCTGCCCCCCTCCTGCCTAGTTTCATGGGGTGGAGGGAACGGGGCAGGAATTAGGCAGATCCCCAGTTGAGTTGGGGAGGGGTGCTGTGTGGGGCAGGTCAGTGCCTCCCTGCAGCTTGGGGCCTGTTCTGCCCAGCCAGATGCCCCACCCCAGCCTAGTCACTGCTGTGAAACCAAGGGCAGGGATGGGGGCAGCAAGGAGAACTCTAAAAGCCGGGGCTCTCCCTTGGGGCATCGGGGCTATGTGGGAGGAAGTGGGGTGAAAGTAGAGCTGCCCCCTTTAGACCACCCCCTAGTGGTTGTATATACCGGTATTCTGTCTCCTTCATACAGCCTGGGCCACAGCCCACTTCATCTTCAGCTCTTCTCCCCTTCTCTCCCACACATGCTGCTCTAAGAGGGTTTCTAACTGACCCATGGGGTCTGTTTGAACCACAAAGTCGTGGACAGTTCAAACTCATCAGCTGTTCCTTAGAAACCTTATATAGGGGTCGCTATGAGTCGGAACTGACTCAACAGCACTTAATAACAGGCTGAACTCAACAGACACTCTCAGCTACACCCAAGCAGTGTGGGATAGCTACCTGATCCTGTCAGCTCCCAGAGCTCCAACAATATCTCCAGGGTGTGATGGAGTTGAGTCTACAATCCCAGGAAGACAGGTGGTATGTGAGGACACAGAATTGGCCATGGCCTGATGTCTCCAGACAGCTGACAGCTCCTAACTTCGGCCGTATCTCAGCCTGTCTCCTGCGGAAGCTATGGAAACTCACACATCTCATCAT